GTTGTTTTCCTTTGAGTAATTACTTTTTGTTCGTTCGTAGTATTATCACGACAAACTGTGTATTCTATAAATATAATATAGTTGTTCGTTAGCAACATTAAAATCATGAAAAAGAATTGTACTAACATATGGTGCATAATATACTGAATTGCTCAGAATTACATTAATATTTAAAAGAGTATTTTTTGAAATAAAAATCCTTTAAATGTGTGTATTAAACCTGAACTGCGATATAAAGTACTCATAGTGGATATAGAGATATTTATTTTACTCTATTGGAATGAAAAATTTAATTTAATTTAATTTAATTTAATTTTATTTAATTTAATTAAATTTAATAAGTATATAAGAGCTTAGGCAACAAAGAAAGTGCTTACCAAGAACTTCATCTGGCAACGTTGAATAATTATTGTCCCAAATCTCATTATTATCGTAGTCATCGACAATTCCCAAATATAATTCCTCAGCTAACTCTGAAGCATTATTTTGATTCCCTTCGCTATTTCCTGATTCAACTGCCGTTTCCAAAAATGGTGACGGGTTATTTTCGTAAGGTTCTGTCATCACCATATAGTTGAACAAATCTTGTAATGCAAGCCCATGCGTAGTTGTTTCAGTATAGACCCCAAGTTCTACAAAAAACATAGTTACTAGTTGAGATAACCAGAGAATACATTGAAAATAACTGTGTTATGATGTATAGTTACAGTGATAGAATACATATAATAGAATATGATGGTTTCCAATTGTCTTAAAATGAGCAACGTGAGTTCGTACACCAATTATCGTGCATTAACTCACATAGAAAGTGTTTTCAAATGAGTGAAGTATATCGTGGTCCTCTCAAATGAAATGTTCAATCAATAGTGTTTGCACTAAATGCATTCTCGTGCGTGGAATAACATTAGGGTTATTCACGAGTTCGAGTAACAAGTTTGGTAAGCGAGTAAAAGTACAACCAGGTACGTTAACTCATGAACACACCTCATTGTGTTGATTTGTTAACGACAGCTATTAAAGACAGCTGTGTTCTAATGAATTTTTAAATTACTGTGAAAACAAAATAGATACTCATATATAAATATCAATATTATGCCAAAGTGCCATTTTGATAAAAAATAGTCTAAACAGACTATCCTGGAAGACGTAGGAGATATGGTCCGATGCGGTTTTGAGTATTGGCACTGTAGACACATTTTCAAATGGCCATATCTCAAGCTCTGTAAATGGTAGGAACTTGAATATTGCTGCGTTTTAAAGATAATTGATTGAAATTTTAAGAAATTGCTTACACAATTAAAATTGTTTATATTTATTTACTTATATTAACCGTTAAATTTCAAAAAAAAATTTATTTCTAAACACCTCCCCAGAATTTTTATATTTTATTTAGATTCAGTTTTAAATTTTACTGCGAAATAAAAATTTTCAGAATGGCATTATTTTTTAAAATTTTAAAAAATTTTTTTTTCGAAGAATATACTACAAATATTCTTATATAATATTTTTAATTTCGATTAGTAATAAAATTCTACATAAAACCCAAAAATTTCAGGACGATATTGTCCTTAAAAGTATTTTAATAAATTGATTTATCATTTAATAAATTAATTTATATTTCCAGTGTGATTTTGCTTTTAGAAGTAATTTAAAAAAATTAATTTATCAGGCGTCCCTCACGTTACTCATACGCCCCATAATACCATTAAATCAATTTTCCAACAAAATGAACACAAAAACGTTTATTTTTTATTTCTAAATTGAGTTCATCATTAAATTTTACATAAAATATTAACACTTTAAATTAGTTCCGCATCATCTCTATTTTTAAGTTACGAATTTTAAAATAATTAAAACATTTTATGAACTTTTTTCTTACATTCATGAATCAAAAAATTAATTAGTTCCAGACTAGCTGAACTACCCACATAACTGCAGCACATATTTACACCTACCTCTTCGGTGAAGTGTAATTCTTCTACAGTTGGAAAAATACTCTGAACAGGTAAGAAATGTTATAGGAAATAGACTATAAAGAATACGATATGAAATGTTTAGGTACCCCTTAACATCATCGAATTTGATAAAAAATGTTGACTGTGTCACAAAAGTAAACTTCGAACAATTCGCATTACAAAATGATCCTCCATCCATTACAAATATTATCCTGTTCCGTCGCCAGAAATAGGTGAACTAAAAAAACCGTTCCCCTCTCTTTTATAAAACAGAGAAAAGAAGAGATGATATTACAGTAATACTTCATCGATATCTGCAAATTAATTTTATAAGAACTGATTTAGTTCTTAAAAAAACTTTTTTTTTGGTTAATGTGACTTACATTATATCTATTCGATTGTTCCCAAAAATTTAAACTATGTGGGGTGTGTTCCTAATTTTAATATTAAATTGATTTGAGCTCACAAAAGCAATATTGGATCATAACTAAGTCATAGCTTGCTCGGATAATAATTTAACATATAATAGTCTAAGTAAACGCGTACGAAAATAATATAATAATAATGATCAATAAAGACTTGGGCTTCTCGTATAAAAATGCAAAAAGACATTTTGTTAAATACTTGCAGTATCGTCTTAAACGTTTTGAACAAATACTATAAATAAATAAACAATAAATAAGCAGTAATAATAATGAATAATATTAATACGCAAGAATACGAACTGTTACTGAGTTCTTCCTGTGCTGGATTTTTAATAAAAGATGGGAAGACTCAACGATATATAGGCATCTGTATGCAATCTGTTTTGAATCACGTTTCGATGAAAGGAAATCCAAAATTCTCATGGAGATACCCCGTAGAAATATCGATCTTGGTAGGTATACTTACGGGTCACTGTAAACTAGAAACCATGCCAGAAAATTAGGTCTCCCTTTCAATCAAGCCTGTCGCAGCTGTGGGGAAGACGATGAGAGTGCCTCTCATCTATTATGTTTTTGCCCACCTCATGCACAACAGCGACTCAACACTTTCTTGAAGAACTTGATCAATTACAAGACTTAACAGAAAATAACATTTCAGGCTTTGCCAAAGGTGATTATGTGATTTTAAACGCTGAGTTTTTTCTACATATAAGGTAACACAATGGGCCAATAGGCCTAAGTGAATCCACCAGAGATCGGCGGTATAACATAACCTAATGTGCAAGAACATTAAAAGCGGAATATGTACTACCATAACATAATCCACTAGTGTTGGATATTCAAGGTACGTAATCTATAGCTAGTATGCATTATTAAAACTTAATAATTTTTTATACTTTTCTACTGACAACTTGTATAAATGATAAGTCTTTAACGCGATACAAATAAATGTCCACTGAAATGAGAATGAAACTTTCCCATATAACAAATACCCATATGAAATATCCTAATGCATACACACTCAGAGAGGAATTTATAAAACTATTCATAGAAACTATAATACAATATTTGTTTCCGACTTTACGGTGGGTATTGGGTTAAGATATATAAACTTATAATTCTGTCAAATATGCAAACCATTTAATTCCTCTGTAGACTCTGCATCAATATTTTCGAATACTTCATTGTTTCCTGGTTCAACGCTAGTATTTTGATATGTTAGCTGCTTATTTTCGCTGCTTTCCATGGATGTCACTTCTTCTGTTGGTTGTTGACGGGTAGTATTACGATCGGCATTATTTTCTATTAAGGGAAACAGTTGTTAAGTGAATATAATACGAAAATATATTAAACATAGTACATTGTCACGTTAGAATATTAACACGCATTGTAATAGAAATGACTATATATTCCCATATAGGTGTTTGAAATTATATATACTAATGAAATGTAAAAGTACTCACTTTTTGGGTTTTCCATTGTTGTTAAACGCTATTTTTCAGTGTATTTTAAAATATTCAAATTAGTTTCACAATAGCATGTCTTCTCAACTTATCTGAAATTATCATTTATACATAGGGAAATATATTATTTAATAATCATCATGTAAGAAATAAATTAAGCCTTACACTTAAGCAGATTCATTCAATTAATACAAATTTTTTACCTTTCACTTCTATAGAAATTAAAATAACTGACGTTGTAATCAATATTTATTGCAGTCGGAAGTTTTCTTCACGTCAAATAATTATGAAATAATTATTATACAAAAAAAAAAAACAGTGTTGACAAACGAAAGAAAAATTATTTGACTTTAAACGTAACTATAATTTGATTGATTTAAATGTTGTCAAATTGATGAGATTGTGTGTCTCATCACGGCTCTATTTTCTGGTGTTAAACGTCAGAAAATAAATCTTCAAGATGGATCATATCATCGACGTATCAGTGCTGATTTGGTTCCAAGATTTGGAAGTGAATTCGTATTTCTTGCAAAAATTTTATGAATCTACAAATCTGTGTAAGCTTGTTCAATATTATAGTAGGATGTCATCATCTTCAACCAATAATAGTTCCCAATCAAGGTTAAAATAAATGTATCTATTTGATTCATGCTTTTCTTGACTTCAAAAGGTTGCACTATTTTTCTTAGTTTCAGACCTTTGAAATACAACTGGGTTAGTATTTAATTGTTAACAAATTGACAATTTTTTTCCATAAATGTTAAATCTTCTTTAAAAATTCATGAAAAGTATTCGTACATACAAATTCTACGCTTCTTAATCGGGATGGGTTAGGTATATCCATACAAAAGTCTCGAAAGTCCCAAACTTTCATATACATTATTGAGCTACACTGTTTTGGTCAACGTGATGAGACACATGAAGTCTTATAACTTTGACTACATTTAAATCAAAACTTTTCTCTTTCTCTCATTCTCAACTTACCAGTTTTTCATCCATGATTCTTATAACGCAAGATTTGTATATATTATATATTGCGTTGACAATCTGTGTTCAATATTCAGTAAATTACAGTTAAGTTTAAAGTTAAATAACTTTCTTTCGTTGTGCAACACTGTTTTTGTTCAATAACTATTTCATAATTATTTGTTGTAGAGAAAAGTTCTGACTGCAATAAATAGTTGACAGCGTCGGCCATATTATTTTCTATAGAAGTGCAAGGTAAAAAATTTGTATTAATTGAATGAATCTGCTTAAGTGTAGGGTTTAATTTATTTTTTACCTAAAATTATATTTAGAAAAAGCTTCAAGTACTTGATAATGAGTATATCATATATTTTCCAATAAATAAAAGATCATTTCAGATAAGTTGAGAAGACATGCTATTGTGAAACTAATTTGAATATTTTAAAATACACTGAAAAATAGCGCTTAACAACAATGGAAAACCCAAAAAGTGAGTACTTTTACTTTTCATTAGTATATATAATTTCAAACACCTACATGATATATGAGAATAAATAGTCTTTTCTAACTTAAGCCATTCTAATATAATTACATATGCCGAGCCTTATTACATTTCCCTTAAAAGAAAATAATACCGGTCGTCAAGTTTATAGGTATATCTTAACCCAATACCCACCGTAAAGTCGGAAACAAATATTGTATTATAGTTTCTATGAATAGTTTTATAAATTCCTCTCTGAGTGTGTATGCATTAGAATATTTCAATTTTTTAATTTCAGTTGACAATTTTTTGTATCGCGTTGAAGACTTATCATTTATATAAGTTGTCTGTAGTATAGTATAATATTTTATAAAAAAATTATTATGTTTTATGTGTTTTTGCATACTAACTATTCTATGTAAGAAATAAACGAGGTGCCGATATCAACTCTGATCACCACCTACTAGTTGGCAAAATACTAGTAAACCCAATAAGAATTCAGAAGTCAAGTAGCTCTACTAGAATCAAATACAAGATCTGTAAATTGAAAGCACCTGCTTCTACTGAGAACCTAAATCCCCAACATTGCTGGAACAAAATAAAAATGGCTATTAATGAAACCTGCATGAAAACTACAGGTAGAGAGTCAAATAATACCGAAGAGGACTTCATATCAGCACAAACCTGGATAATGATAGAACAACGAGCAAAATTAAAAAATGAGATAAATGCAATGAAGAAGCCTAATGATCGAAAGAGAGCATAAACGGAATAGTTACACCTGAACAAATGTGTCAAAAGGAAATTCGGGACGATAAGAAAAAATTCTCTAACAATATGGTAAATGAAGCGGAAAATGCAGCGGCATCAAATAATATGAAGAGTCTCTTTGGTATAACAAAGAAACTAACAGACGAGAGCGTCAAAAGAACCCTCTCTGTCAAGAATCTCTCTGATGAGCTATTGACAAACGTAAATAATTAGCTAAACCGATGGTGTTAACATTTTATTCAAATATTGAACCTATAACGCGAAGGTGTCGTGATAACGCAAAATGACAACATAAATGATTTGCCGATTAGGGTTGATCCTCCTTCAAAAAGAGAAATAACCAATGCAATAAAATTGCTGAAAAACAGAAAAGCTGCAGATTTTAACAATATTCCGGCCGAAGCCCTAAAAGTTGATATCTTACACCCACTCTTCAAAAACATTTGGAAAATAGAAACTTATTCATCCGACTAATTTCATGGCACTGTAGTCAAACTACCCAAAAAAGGAGACCTAAGTGACTGTAACTACTCTGAAGTACTACTACGACCAGAGCTAGCGGGTTTCAGAAGCGGAAGATCATGTGTTGACCATATTAACAGTCTTAGAATAATCATAGAACAATCGATAGAGATGCGATCCCTCCTTTATCTGCTTTTCATCGATTTTGAAAAGACGTTTGAGTCGTTAAATCGTAATTGCATGTGGGCAGAGTTGAGAAATATTGGTGTTTCGGCTAAAATAGTCTCCGTAATTGCAAAAAGCTACGATCAATTTAAGTGCGCAGTTTTACACGACAACAAACTGTCTAAGGCCTTTTGTACAATTTCAGGCGTACGTCAAGAATGCGTCCTTTCCCCACTGCTGCTTTTAGTTGTGCTTGATACAATGACCAAGTGTTTGGACTGTGTTGACGACAAATGCGAGTTGTCTTATCGGCTTGATGGTATGCAACAGAAACTTAATAACCTGTTTTTAGAGTCCTGCAAAGTCGGACTGAAAATAAATGCACAGAAAAGAAATCAGAATAAACAATCAAATCTCTTCTTTTCTCTGTTTTATAAAACAGAGAAAAACGGTTTTTTTGGTTCACCCATCTCTTGCGGCGGAATAGGATAATATTTGTAAAGGATGGAGGATCATTTTGTAATGTGAATTGTTCAAAGTTTACTTTTGTGACATAGTTATGTTAACATAGTCAACATTTTTTACCAAATTCGATGATGTTTAGGGGTACCTAAACACTTCATATCGTATTCTTTATAGTCTATTACCTATAACCTTTCTTACCTGTTCAGAGTATTTTTCCAACTGTAGAAGAATTACACTTCACCGAAGAGGTAGGTGTAAATTTGTGCTGCAGTTATGTGGGTAGTTCAGCTAGTCTGGAACTAATTAATTTTTTGATTCATCAATGTAAGAAAAAAGTTCATAAAACGTTTTAATTATTTTAAAATTCGTAACTTAAAAACAGAGATGATGCGGAACTAATTTAAAGTGTTAATATTTTATGTAAAATTTAATGATAAACTCAATTTAGAAATAAAAAATAAACGTTTTTGTGTTCATTTTGTTGGAAAATTGATTTAATGGTATTATGGGGCGTATGAGTAACTTGAGGGACGCCTGATAAATTAATTTTATTAAATTACTTCTAAAAGCAAAATCCCACTGGAAATAATAATTAATTTATTAAATGATAAATCAATTTATTAAAATACTTTTAAGGACAATATCGTCCTGAAATTTTTGGGTTTTATGTAGAAGTTTATTACTAATCGAAATTAAAAATATTATATAAGAATATTTGTAGTATATTCTTCGAAAAAAAAATTTTTTTAAATTTTAAAAAATAATGCCAGCCTGAAAATTTTTATTCCGCAGTAAAATTTAAAACTAAATCTAAATAAAATATAAAAATTCTGGGGAGGTGTTTAGAAATAAATTTTTTTTTGAAATGTAACGGTTAATATAAGTAAATAAATATAAACAATTTGATTTGTGTAAACAATTTCTTAAAATTTCAATCAATTATCTTTAAAACGCAGCAATATTCAAGTTCCTACCATTTACAGAGCTTGAGATATGGCCATTTGAAAATGTGGCTACAGTGCCAATACTCAAAACCGCATCGGACCATATCTCCTAGGTCTTCTTATTTTATGAACGGAGCTCATAAAAAAATTTCAGCCAAATCTGAGATGATGAGGACCAAATCCGTCCGGTTTGTAAAAGAATGACACATATGGCATAATAAAACCTTATAAATTATGTCCAATTTTAAACATTAATAAATATTATTAAATATTATATTTCATTAAGTAATTTTATTCTGTTTAGACTATTTTTTATCAAAATGGCACTTTGGCATAATATTGATATTTATATCAGTATCTATTTTGTTTTCACAATAATTTACAAATTCATTAGACAGCTGTCGTTAACAAATCAACACAATGAGGTGTGTTCACGAGTTAGCGTAACTAGTTGCACTTTTACTCCCTTACCAAGCTTGTTACTCGAACTCGTGAATAACCCTAATATTATTCTACGCACGAGGATGCATTTAGTGCAAATACTCTTGACTGAACATTTCATTTGAGAGGACCACGATATACTTCACTCATTTAAAAACACTTTCTATGTGAATTAATGCACGATGATTAGTGTACGAACTCACGTTGCATATTTTAAGACAATTGGAAACCATCATATTCTATCTTATGTATTCTATCACTATAACAGTTATTTTCAATGTATTCCCTGGTTATCTCAACTAGTAACTATGTTTTTTGTAGAACTTGGGGTCTATACTGATACAACTACGCATGGGCTTGCATTACAAGATTTGTTCAACTATATGATGATGACAGAACCTTACGAAAATGACTTGCCACCATAAAATGATCACAAATTTTTATATATGATGGGCTGAATGAAATTTACATTTTTGTATTCGGGTGGTCCAGTTTAACTACGATCTGTTACGTTTGGTTAAATTTTAAACTTGTTTCTGAGAACATGATCTTTCAAAATATATCCTATGCTCCCAATAACTTTAGATTGCATCGAGTGTGTCATTTTCATCAAAATTACAATACGTCAATTACTTTTCAATTCTAAACTGTCGATGAGGCAGTTTTGAATTGCTTTTGTATACATATAATCTACAAGTAATCGTGACTTGAATTAATCTGAAATATGTGGCATCTTTTAACTAAGATAGAATCTAAGTTGTTGAGGGAGAATTCTGAAATCAGAATTGTGAAATAGTATCAATTGCTGCAGTAGTAAGCGTGTTCTGGAATAACATTCCTGGATAAGCTAGCAGATATACAATTTAATAATTTCATATTAGAGCTTTAAATATTTATTTTTATATGTGTATATATTGTGTAATATACACATTGTTTGAGAGGAGCGTCTCAACTTAGTCATTGACTGAATTGGTAAGACCCTACCGTGAATGTTTTAAATATTTTAATCAAATCCATCCCTCATCTTAAAACATTCGTAACTAAATGGTGTATGTCCACTGTTAGTTCGTAGACGTCCATACTACTCAACAGACATAAATACTGTTCTGTTTGAAAAACGAAACCACAGATATGAACTGATAGTACCGTAAAGGAAACAAAAGTTGGCGTCCCATTAATAACCCAAAATAGTATATCATAGGTATCACAATTTTGTTCAATATATTTTATATATTTTAGTGAATGTAGTGTATTTTAACGAATAACTATATCTGTTTATAGAAAACAATCTTCGCCGTAAGAAAACTACTAATCAACGGAAAAAACAAAAAGCAGATACTGAACAGATAACAACAGAACCATTCGGAAGTAAGTTATCACCATTTTTGGACAGGCTTATTAAATCGGGACACATTAAGGAATTTGAAAGTGACTCTTCGGAGTCAGAATCTTCAGAGGCTCTTGATGGTAAGAAAGAGAACGTTTCATTTTAACTTTTAAATTGAGTGGTATCGGTTTTGTGACGTAAATGTGTGATTCGATGTGTTACTCATCAATGTACACTTGCTTATTAAATACTACAACTGTCATTATTCTTTGTTCCATATTGCATTTAGCTTACTGTAATCATTGAATGCAACTAGTAAATATACTTAAGACTAACAAGCATTTTTAGTTTGATAAATTATAAATATTTATACTAACGTTTTATTACTTATTGAGGTCAAAGGGTATTATACGTCTTAATCTTGGTACTGAGTTAGTGCGTTGACTAATTGTAAAATTTCTGCATTTTCATGTCACGTAATTTTCGAACCGTGAAGAACAGCATACGTTTTTATGACGTCCTTGAGAGGTTTTATTATTAGGTCACGATGTAGGTCTGTACCATGAATGTACCAGGGTGCATTTTTAAAATTTCTTAGGACTATGTTTTGGAAACGTTGTATTATCATAACATTACTCTTATTGATGCATTTATATAACTGTATACCGTATGTCCATTTAAGATTTCAATGTAAACTATTTTATCTGGTTGAACTTTAGCTCAAGTTCTTTTTTTTCTTCTTCACATGCTTTTTTCAACGTAGTTTAGCGTCTAGGGTCATGCCCAAGTATGTTGCTGTATTCACATAAAAGAGAGACCTTTTTATTCATAAAGTCAACGCGTACCGATTTGGTATTGTTAAGCATGAGTCGCCATTGTTTCGTCCACCGATGAACATTATTAATGGCCAGCTAGAGGGTTTTAGTTGATTCCATTTCATTAGAACCAATTGAAAGTACAGCTGTATTATTAGCAGACGTAGCAATTTTACAAGTTTCTGTTACTGGGATATCATTATCAAACAGAAGAAAGAGTATGGGACCAAGGACTCTTCCCTGTGGAACAGTCGTTTTAATTCCCTTTAGTTTTGAGTAGCAGTTTACCTCGAAAATATTTATTTGTTAAGAGCAAAATATTGTTCTGGCAATTGTATATAAGACCTTTATGCCACACCTTGTCACACCTGTGATATATCAAGGAACACTGCCGAGCACACTTTCTTCTTTTCCAAACAGTTCTCTATTAAGTTACTAATTCGACGGACTGGTTCAATGGTTGAGTGGTTGGTTCTAAAGCTTAATTAATGATTTTGAATCAGGTTTTGTTTTTCTATAGAATTTGATAGTCACTTCTTAAACAACAAAATAGATAGTAACGATATGGGTGTATAGGAAGAAACCTCATATGCAGCTTACTTCAGATACTTTCCAAAAGGAAGGTATGTATCGCAGTTTGAAGCATGTGTTGATAAAAAATGTCAAAACTTTGTAGGTATTTTTTGGCAAGTTTCCAAATTAAAATTGACTTAAATTTTATTTTTAACTTCTTCTTATAGAAGAGACTGCATCCGAAGGTACTGGTGATAAAGAGGATAATAAGCGGAAAGTAAGAAAAAGAAAAATAAAACGCGCTAAAAAGATGATAATTGAGTCTGAATCCGAGTCTGAATCAAGTTCATGCTTTAGTTATACAACGACTAAAGAGGAATGCAAACCTAATAATATATAAGAATAAGCACTAAACAATAAAACGAAGAAGATGACGTCCTTTAATACTAGAGCCAAAACAAAATTTATTTCACCACCAGCATGGCTTAAGCCGAAATACGATTGTGCAGATCTGAGACTACCCGAATTATTGTAAATTATTATTTAGATATCATAATAAAGAGGCGTTAATTTTCAATATTTTATAGTCTGTATTTAAAAAGGAAACTAAGGGCTATCGATGCCGAAATTAAAAAATTTCTAAAAAAGTCTAAAAAGAAACAATTCAGAACTCGTGAACTTAAATGGAAAATGTAAGTAATATCTGGACGCCTTCATTTCTTTATCGAAATATAATAATAAGATTCCTCATTTTTATCCTTAGCCGAAACATTATTCTCGATATGAAAAAGGTTGATAATATGAGTTACTCGTTAGCGCATTATAGTATTCCAGTTAATTTCCTCCGAAAGGTCAATGAAAATTTAGCTTGTGGTTTGCCTGTACTTAATAACATTCAACGTCCTATACCTGAAATGACACTCCACAGCAAACTCTGCAAAGTTTTCCTTAAATGCGGATGGATATTTCTTAAAAGAACGTTTCCTGAAGAAGGCTATAAGTGTAGTTTATATCGACAAATTAGAAAATAATTTTTGTATATTATAAGAAATATTTTTTTTGATTCTAGATATAAAAGGATGTAATAATTTAAATTTTAAATACGCATAAATAAAAAAAATAAAGTAATAATAATAATAAGTGATAATAATTTCTGTATAGTAAAATATTATATTCTTGTACAGTATATGAGGTATATTTTCTCAGTTCTTCTTTGTAGAAACCGAATCGCACTTCTTAATATGTGGAATAGAGCACAGCAAACAAATGCCAGAAGCATGGAAATGTAGTTTCATCTTCCAAGTCTATAAGAAAGGCAACAAACTTAAATGCGGTAACTACAGATCAATTTCGCTGCTCGATGATGGCTATAAAACTAAATGGAATTTTTGCAACACCTTTTAAGAAGGGAGTCCCCAATTTCCACTCATTCTAATTGTCTTAAAATTTTTTTAATTTTTCATTATTTATTTTGTCCCTTATTAAGGAATTCACGTTCGGTCAAAAGCATTATTTTACAGAATTTAGCAGAAATTCTTTGTGCGCGACTTATATTTTTATTCACTTCGGTAAATAAAAAAAATAAAATACAAACAAATTCTAATTTTTATTAAAATTTTATTTTATTTTATTTGGTTTTTAAAATAACGAATTTTATTATAAAATTATTTAATAATTATATATTCGTTCACTTAGGTGGAATCTTAAGACTAAATTCTAAATACAAAATCAATATCTTATATACTACTTACAAATCATAATTGGCGAAAGTGGATGAGAGGTAACAATAAAAATTTGGTAACCTGTTGACAAATGAGGGTCATTACATTGTTTATGTGAAATGCTGATGCAGCTTGAGAAATGCTCAAATGCAATAGATTTTGTAATGGAAATTACTATGAATTAAAATATTGTTTTAATATTTTAATGATTTAGAAATTTGAATTTGGAGCAGTGAAATTAGGAAATTTTGTTTTGCTTATTAAGAGGAAGTTAAAGTATCGTGGGATAAAATATTATTTCGATACTTTAATTGTTCTGCAACTAGAATAGTTACCAAGAATTACGTTTTGTAATTAATATTTGGAAAGTGTCGATTGAAACAAATTTGGCAATATGGGAAGTGTACCGTGGGATAGATAATTATTTGCGACACTTATGAGACATGTACTGTCGAATTTTGCAATTGATACAAATTTGATCACGTAGACCAATTAATTGGAATATTGTGAAGTGTTGGCGGAGCCAATGACATAACCCGCGTGGTTTCAGAAATATTGTTCACCCAAGAGAGAGGTCCGCTTAACAGGGGTATTTTTTAGGAGAGTTTTGTAATTACACTGTAATTACATTTTTAAAACAAAATATTGGATATTTAAGTTTCGATTTAAACTCTCCATCCATTGTTGAATGTTGGCGATCACATCTATTAAATTTGTTTATTCCTCTAATTTATTTAATTAATTAATATATATATTTATTTATTCATTTACTTATTTATTAATTTATTTATTAACTTATGTGTTTATTTATGTATTCATTAAATTATTTATTTATTTATTAACTAATTTATTTACTAAATAAGTTGCTTATTTATTTTTTTATTTAAATATTTATTTTTTTATTTATTTATGTATTAATTAATTTATTAACTTATTTGTTTATTTACGTATTCATTAAATTATTTATTTATTTATTAACTAATTTATTTTATCACAATGGACCTGTAGGCCTAAGTGGATCCCCCTGGGTTCGCCGGTACAACCTAACTAATTTATTTACTCAATAAGTTATTTTTTTATTTTTTTATTTATTTATGCATTAATATATTTATTTATTTAAATTTATGTAATTATTTATTTATATATTTATTTACTTATTTATTTATTTACTAATTTATTTATTTCTTTTTTTTTATTAATTTACTTATTTATTTCTTTATTTTTTTTATTTATTTACTTATTTATTTATTTATGAATTAATTTTTTTGTATATTTATTTATTTATGATTTATTTATTGTTTTATTTATTTATTTCTTTATTTAGTTATTTTATTACTTGGGTTCGTGTTCTCAATGAACAGGGTATGGTCATGCGCAAAACATCAGCCTATGCCTTACCAAGACCATGGTGCGTGGTACTTTATCACACCCTTCTCGAGGTGAACCTGTTTGTAGTTGATAATTTCATTGACTCAACAGAACACTATGGATCTAGAGAGGAAAACTCGATAAAACCCGTAATCTCCGGTGTTATTCGACCCGTGCCGATGAGATGAATGGCACTACGTTAGTTTGTCTCTAAACGGAGACCTCCGGATATCTGGCGCCCTCCGGTTGTAACTTAGCCTTGTCCGGGTATAGCGGATCTCTGCCCGGATCGACTCTCCTTTCTCCGCAACTCGTGGGTTTAAAATATGAACCAAAACAATAAAAATTTACAAAAATCAAGCTCGGTTAAACCAAGCTCTTCTGGAACGGCTAGTTCCAAGGTACCTACCGCAACTTCTAGCGGTAATAACAGGGTACCTCCTAATAAACCAGGAATCTCCACGCGTTCTGGCCCTTCTGCATGGTCGGGCTCTCCATCCAGGAGAATTTATAAAGAACGGCGAGCGGCGACTAGGCTGCTCGAGAGATATGGTAATGTCTCGGTTACGTCCGAGTCTCTTAAGGCTAGATTAGCCTGGGCCAAACGGGTCCTTGATACTTCTAAGGAAGTCAAAAAGGAACCTGTACCGAAGCGCCAGCGCTCATTAGATGAGTCAGCTTCGAAGCCAGATGCCAAAAAGGCAAAATTTCGTGGCAACGCCACCACTACTAAGTCCTTTAGCGACACGCTGAAGGGCTCCATCATAATGGCGGTCATTGATGAAAATGATCCAGATGGCACTATTAATCCTGAAAAATGGGATCAAATTGAGCGAAAGCTCCTTGACTTGTTCCTCGAAGTTCTTAAGGAATTTCCAGGTACAATTCCCAAATGTCGCGACGGTGGATGGTTTCAGGGCCATGTGAAACTAGTCGCCTGCGTTGATCAGCGTTCTGTTGATCTCTTTCGCATTGCCATCTCCAGAATGGGTGAGGTCTGGCCAGGCGCAAAGCTTAAAGTCGTTGCCAAGGAACAAATTCCTGGCCGACCTAGGGCGCGTTCCTGGATTCCAGCCGAACCATCCGACCCTCAGCGGATTCTGGAGCTAATTCAGGTGGGAAACCCTGATCTAAATACGTCCACGTGGAAGGTCACCAAGCTGGAAGAAGCCAAAGGCAAGTTTAGGTCGGTCAGTTTTGTGATCGACAAAGCCTCTCTGGCCATTTTGGCGCGATCTGGTGGCGTTTTAAATTACGGTTTTTTCCCCATAACTATGAGGGTCTACAAAAAAGATGAGGAGCAATCCTCGTCTGATGTACGGGAATCAGCGGCAATTTCTCAACACACTGCTGATCCCTTGTCGAAAGTGGGCAACATTAAGCCTGCTTCAATGACCGAAGTGGGTCCGGTTATTCCATCTGAAGACTCACCTGTGTGCATGGACATTTCAATGTCTGCTCCTTCGCCAGCTCACTCAATTACATCAGAGGAGAGCATAGGCATGCGCTATCTTTTCGATGAAGAGGAACTCCTAATGAGTAATGACTCTGAGGAGGATAGTGCTTTTGATGTCACTGTGGTGGAGAAAAATGGATCCACACATACTAAAGATGCGGGTACAGCAAATTAACCTGCATCATAGCAAGGCTGCATCCGCCAGTCTACTGCAACGCCTCAGCAACAACGAGGCTGATATGGTCCTGATACAAGAACCACGGATTTATAAGGATCTTGTGTGCGGAATCAGGGCTAGTAACTACAACCTATTTTATGCGGTAAATAAGGGTAAGCCTAGGTCCTGCATAGTGGTTAATAAAAAATTTAATGCTCTCTTACTTTCGCAATATAGTGATGGTGACCAAACCGCAGTAAGTATCGAGGGCTCCTGGGGCCAAATATGGGCAGTATCTGCATATCTGGCACATGACCATGCCATACTACCATCGAATGTCCTGATACAGCTAACAAGCAGCGCCAGGAGACTCGGGGTAGAGCTTCTAATAGGCTGCGATGCCAACGCTCATCATGAGATTTGGGGCAGCTCAAATACCAATGAAAGAGGTGAGTTACTTTTTGATTTTGTATTTAGTAACAATCTGTTCATCTGCAATGATGGCAATAAGCCAACTTTTATTACAAAAAACAGGCAGGAAATGTTAGATGTCACTCTTGCTACTGCTAGGCTTCACGAATCGGTCAAGAACTGGAAAGTGTCCACTCAACACTCGTTCTCAGACCACATGATTCTAGAATTCACCTTAACCTTAGATGAATCGAACATCTACAATCAAAAAACGTTTAGAAATGTTAAAAACACAAACTGGACGAATTATAATGCAGCTCTAAGTGAGCTGCTTTTAACCACTTCCTTCGATCCCCCTGGGAACACTTTTGATCTAGACAATAAAGTCCAAGATCTCACCTCAGTGCTCAACGAAGCCTTCAGTTATGCTTGTCCCCTCACACAACCTAGTAGGAAATGTAACCCACCTTGGTGGAATAAACATCTAGATCTTTTACGAAAGGAGTGTAGGAGACTCTTCAACAGAGCAAAACTATATAATAATGAGAGTGATTGGCTGAATTACAAAACCTCTCTGAAAGAATATAAGAAAAATCTACGTAGGTCCAAGAGGGACACTTGGCAATCGTACTGTCAAGAAATAAATACCAATTCTGAAACCTCTAGACTGCGTAAAATCTTATCCAAAAGTCCATCTGTCCCAGAGTTACTCAAAAAATCTGACGGGACATGGTGCAATAATAGTAGCGAATCTTTACAATTACTACTAGATACTCACTTTCCGGGATCTTCTACTTCGGTAGCTGCATCCTCAGAGTGCCCTAATCTCTCACCGGTTAACTCTATTAAGGTTAACCTGCAGATCGTCAAATGGGCTATTTTTAGCTTTAAACCCTACAAATCACCAGGACCGGATGGTATTCATCCAATTGAGCTCCAGAATTCGTGGG